AGTATTCGTAAGAGTTCGGGCATTTGTAAATGTTATTTTGGAAATACAGATCGAATAATTATAAAGGCAGAAGGTGTAAGAGTGAATCAAAACAATTTTCCGTCAAGTCAAAGGAAAGCTTAAATATGACATGCAATATACAGGCATTAAATTATAGAGAAAAATAAAAAAACATTTTTAACGTTGTCACGGATATTACGAGTGCCGTAACAAAGTGTTGATGAGTTTCATATGCATTTGTCAAAACTAGCATAAGAAGACAAAGAGTATTCCAAAAATATATGATTGAAAACTTGCTCAGCGCATTTACAAGCACCAATTTCAGAGCTCGCTCTGTCACAAATTAATTGAGAGTCTGAGCATGTGTTGTCAACACCACAAACTCTCCAAGCTCATGGTAACGACCAACTGGATGTACTAGTACCGATTTTGGAGTAATTAGCTCGCTCAGTCACAAGTTTCAACATAAATCAGCTGCGCATGCGCAGTCTGCTTGAGCATGCGCAATCATCTTCACCAGATACCCAATCCCGTGGTCTGGCAACGACCAACTGCATCTACTAGCACCAATTTTGAAGTAAATAATATGCTTAGTAACAATTTAATAGAGAAATCATCTGCGCATGCGCAGTCTGCTTGAGCATGCGCAATCCACTCGAGTAGTTGTTCATAGTCATGACAACGACCAACTATACGTATTTGCACTACAATTGTGTCAATTAACTCATTTAGTCACAAATTATCAAAGAAATCATCTTCGCATGCGCAGTAACGATAAAAATCATCCCCCAACTTTCGTACGCCTTTAAATTTTGGTATATATATATAAAGCTAAAAATTCATATAGTAGATGTCAACTAGCAGTGGAAGCTGGGTGCGATATAGTATGCAGTGGCTTAGGGGCCCACACTTCGGTGGCGACCGCACTCTCCCTGCGTAACCTGAGCAAAGCCTATCGCAGGTGATCTCAGGCTCTGATGGGCGGAAGATTGCTATTGGCATCTCCCAAGTAGGATAGCGTGGAGGGGCCGAAATCTTCTACCGAAACGCTAACATGCGGCGTTCTAGTGCCTTGAGCTTAAGGAGGTATCCGGAAGCATGGACCGAAGACGGGGTTTTTTTTGCTTTCGAATTTTGTCTTTTTTTTCTCCTCTGATAAAAAAAACCAAGCAATGTTTCAATTAACTTCTCATGACCCTGTCTTTATCTGACACTTATAATTAAAGACAACCTTAAACATGTTTTTACCATTTTTATAGCTTTACATCTTTCTGATTTAACTCTCCCATTTATTGTTTCTCATGTATCACGAGCAAACCATCCATATGCTTCATGGCAAAAAAAAAGGATTATGTGGTTCCCTTAGTTAACATGCGACGCTCTAGTGCTCAACTATCACGGGTATCGGGAGGCACGGACCGAAAACGGGATTTTTTGTTTTAAAAATTTGTCTTTTTTCTTTAGAATAATTCTTCTCATAAAAGAAACTAGAACGTCCAAGGATACTTCAAAGGTTCAAACAACTTCCGCCTTTTTGAATTATAATTTAAACAAACTCTAAGCATGTTTATACGTTTTTACTTTTACCTTTTACAATGTAACTTTCTCATAACTCAATCGTGATGAACGCGAGCCTCCTTATACAATATGACTCTTTCATCATGAACGAAAGCATCCATGGGCTTCATGGAAAAAAGGGATTATGTGCTTTGTTATAATAGTTTCTACAAAGATAAGATTTAATAAGCTAAGATATTTGAAAATAAATATATTTGAGTTATTATGGAAATAACAAATGGAGAATTGACTGATCATACTCATTCCAATTGGTCTGGAACAACTATTACATTTATAATTTTGGCCATCTAACCCTTTTCCCGGGCTATATTGTTAATTAACGAAGGTAACTTCATATGTCGTTCTTGCTGAACATGACGATAATTGGGTGCGGAATATTTCTTCCCGCTCATTAGACGAAACTGAAACGCGACTACTATCTTACGGACTAAAACATTCCATAACACCTAGACAAATCCCGACTGAGACGATAGTATCAAGTGTCGAGGCTGTCCTAGCGTATCAAAGAGACTTGTCAGAGACAACCAAAGACGAGATCAGAAGCAGGATAGCTTCCACTTTACAATCGTCCTCTATACGTGACAACAACTTGACAAAAGACGAACAACAAGCACTCGAACGACTAAAACACGACAACAACATCGTCATTTTACCAGCAGACAAAGGACGCGTGACAGTGGTCATGGACAGGAATGATTACTTTAACAAAATGGACACCCTTGTTAACGACAGACAAACGTACGAACAACTCAAACGAGACCCAACACCATCACTAGTACGCAAACTTAACAGCAAGGTCTTCTGTATGAGAAAATCTAACATATCTGAACGTATTTACTATCGACTCAGATGTTCAGTACCACGACCACCCAGACTATACGGACTACCAAAACTTCACAAACTACAAATACCCATGCGACCAATTGTATCATTCTGTGGTTCGCCTACTTACGAACTTTCAAAGTAGTTGACTAACATACTGCAACCACTTACAAACAAATCAAAACACAAGCTACAATCCACTGAAACTTTCATTAAAAAACTGCGCACTATACAAATACCGGACAACTATATACTAGTGTCTTTTGATGTGAAATCACTGTTCACCAGTATTCCACTTAATCTGGCACTTACTTGTACAAAAACCTTCATTACAAACACCACGGACGTACTGCCATTACCGACAGAAGACATTATGGAGTTACTGGAGCTCTGCCTCATCTCGACTTACTTCCAATACAAAGGAACACACTACAAACAATTACATGGGAGAGCAATGGGCTCGCCCGTTTCTGTTGTAGTTGCTGAAATTGTAATGCAATCAATAGAGGAACGGGCGCTCATGACTTACAAACATGCACTACCTTTTTGGTTTCGCTACGTAGATGACACAATCACAGCACTACATGCAGACGAGATTGATGACTTCCATACTCACATCAACAAAAAGAACAGCCACATACAATTTACTAAAGATGTCGAAGTAAACGAAACTCTTCCTTTTCTCGACTGTTTGGTAAAACATGACAATCAAAAACTAGGAACAACAGTTTATCGCAAGCCAACACATACTGACCGACTACTAGACCAATCATCTTACAACCCCACATCACACAAAGCCACCACAATCAGAACATTAACATCACGTGCACAAATTATATGTGATTCACCGGACGCTCTACAAAACGAAAACAACTATCTCAAACGTGTTTTTGACAAAAACAACTATAACTCTGACTTTATCAAACGCAACACTTACAAACCCAACGAACCCAACGAAACGAACAACTCAGTGACAACAGCAACGATACCTTACATCAAAGGTACGTCTGAGACTATCTCGCGTATCTTACGACCATACAACATACGTGTCGCACATAAACCAATCACAACGTTACGACAAGTACTAACGAACATAGAGGACAAAGAACAAACCAACGAACGACAAGGTGCAGTTTACAAAATAAACTGCTCCGACTGCCACGCCTCCTATATCGGGGAAACTGGCAGGTACTTAAACATAAGACTTACTCAGCACAAACGAGCTACTAAGAAACAACACAAAACTAATCACATTGCCGAACATCACCGAATCACAAAGCACAACATTGACTGGGACTCGGCAAAATGCATCACTTACAGTACTGACTATAGACAACGGCTTTCATTAGAAAGTTGGTTTCACCAACTTGGAACAAACCCCCATGAACAGATCACAGCAATTACCGGCACCTTAAAAACGCTTATTCACAATACAAACAAACGACACCCACACATTACAACTAAAAACTTCACACCTAAATCACACATCACAACTAAAAATAAAATATTTCACTTCACACTAATCCACAATGACAATACACATTTCCTGTACACACAATACAATGACGTAAGACCAGATAACAAATACGGCTAACCTGACGTTTACTCCTCATTTGACTCTGAAGATGACTACCGCTAAGGTTGTCGAAACGTCAGTTAACAACAACAAAAACAGTCTTTCTCAGGACTTTATTAACCTGGACGATCATCATTTACAAACATTTAAAAATTAAATCAGAAGTCCAAAAGCACACATCAATATTTTTAACTTTTACTTATTTCCTTCTCATAAAAATATCTGGAATAAGTCAAGACTTAAGAAAACTGCTATCATTGGACTCAGCTGACAATTCGTTAACAATTTGACGAAGCGATATTTGTCGTGTTATTCCTTTGATGCATCCACGTTTACATCCCAAAACTCCGCAATGTCTTCCCATTTCCAAAAAAAGGTGGCTAGATTTAGGATGGAAAGGGTACAACGACGTAAAATGCGAACAACCTTGTTTTCGTAATAGAAATTATATTCCTTTTGCCCGATTGAGCCGCCATCTTGGAATATTCAATTAGCTACGGCAGGCAACGTATAAATTGTATACACGTTACCAATCTATGTTTGTTTTATCTATGATTTTATACATGGTGCGTTGTCCAGTGTAATATACATATCAGTGGTTTAAGCTTATAATGAAAGGGTATGATATCATGATAAAATGCTGATTCAATTTACAGTCTGGACAAGAGTTTGCATACAAAGTGCATGATGAGTCTTATGACAGCTTTCATAAAGGCAAGTTTTGTGGATTTCTTGATATTATGCAAGTTTCACTTTCTCAAAATGTGGTTGCTTGGCTTATATGATTATTTGAAAATTATGGACAGTTAACTGGAATCTTTCCCACCTTTTGAAATAAATTAATTGATGGTTTAAACATGATGATACAAGGAGTTTTTATATGTGATGGATAATTGTAGTTTTTTTAGTTACTTGGAGTTGACTGAAGCAGCCAAAAGAATAATTTGGTTGTATTTGTCCTATTTAAAGGTGTTGCCGCTTAATGACAGCTTTGATTTGTGCATGTTAGTTTTGACAGAAACAGCTGAGTTGATATATTATTGTAATAACATTTGATATTGTCCTTATGTCTGCTCATTTAAATAGTGGTATAGCATTGTATTAAAAAATAACATTTTCCTTTTTATTTCCTTCTTGGCTCACAGGCTGAGTCTGTTGAATAAACCTGCATCTTAAGTTCACCTGTCAAGACTTTTTGCACGTTATTTGTGCTTTTTGTCCTTTTACAAGAAAATCCAAAGGATAATGTTATTACTGTAGTGGACTAAATTCCCACATTTTGATGATGCATGATTGTAAATGTGTAGATCAAGCAAGTTATTTTGAAAGGTTTGCAAATGTTTCAAGATTTATAAATGTTTTAATTTTAAATCCATTAAGGATGGGATGATGAAATATTGCTACTGTTCAAAAATTGAATTCTCTTTTAATCTTTACCTGTATATGTATATCAGAATGTTTGTTGTTGTATTTCTATGTTATGGTTTTATTATAAAGTTGAGATCTAAAGCTAAGACAGTAATTTTTATTTTGACTTCTTAGAAACCTTTATAATTTTTGTTTCTAATTTAAAATTTGTAAATTAAACTTCAATAAAGTACTTATGTCTTACTTTATGTATGATTGAAAATCATGATTTTGTATGGCATGGGTCTTTGTATGCAATACCTGACCAAAAAATTTTTGCTAGATATGCCACTGATACTAGTATCAGTAAAAAATAAAGAAATATCATTAGCCGCACCTGAAGCATTGTCTATTGCTTGGTTAGTTGTTAGTAAGCCATGAAGAATTAACTACCCTTTTCTACATCAAAGCATGTATCAATGTCAACTTCTTTTTGCTTATAATGTACTTAAGCTTCACAATTTGACACAACATTATAATTTCATGCCATTTATTGAAAAGCACAATATATCTTTTACCAGAAATTAGTGGTTGTATTCTTAACTACAATGTCAATTTGACATTTTAGGTTTTATAAAAAGTATGTGCATTGTAGGAAGAAATACTAAGTTTTTATGTCATATATCTCCATCTTTTTGTAAATGCTTTATCCATTACAGTAATATGTTTCATGATTCATAAATGCCAATAAAATCATCAATTTGGGCGGCATACGCACCAAAATTACCAAGTTTTCACTTAACATAAAGTTTAGCAAATGATATTTTCATCAGAATTGCATTAAATGTAGCATTAAGATTAATTTAATTATTTAAAATATTTGTTATTACGATTCGACTACATATGTTGTCGACCTGAAGAGTTATAAGGCAATAAAACGAAGGAAATGCGAAAAACTTATTATCAGTATTTCATCACATACAGTAAATTATTAACAATAATTTTGCCAGGTTCCGAAATTACACTTGCTACGCAATATGACGGGTTGTCAGCAATGGCGCAGTTAGTCCTTCGATATTTATGGACGTGGTTTCAATAATGACTGAATGCTTACCGTCCTCTTCTTGAAACTTTTTTTGGCATTTTACTATAAAAGATTTGAGTTTTATGTCAGATTTCTACATTGATTGGAACAACAAATGTGCTACGCATGTACGCCATTAATCTACAAACTTACCGTAAAAATTTGTGGTGAATGTAGTTGAAGAAGCGAAGTAAACTAAGTTTTTTTTAAGGTTGTTTCAGATAAGATAGAGCAACTTGTGCCCAGGCTCTTTATATTACTTGCCATTAACTGTTAATTATTAATTTTCATCATATTTGCATATTACACCAGAGCCCTCTATTTGTAAAGTGTAATTTAAACGAACAAAGTTTCTGTGGCAAAGATGTCTTTTGCAAAGTTCATTTGCTCGTGTAAATAACGACATTTCTGTGACAAAGTCATTTGTTCAAAAGCAGGCATGCCAGTTTTTCAACTAATGACTTTGCCATAGAAAATTAAACTGATCCGTTTGTTAATAATAGGGGAAACTCAATAATTATCTCCCCTTTGTTAAAAATAACGTCCCCCCCCGAAATAATCACATGCTTTGCTTTCCATTAAAAGTTTTGCTCGTCTTTAATTATTATAAAAACATCATAAGCATTGCTTAAATTAAAAAATTGTTGGTGAAAAGTTGTCAATAAAATAAAAATTTTTTATAGGTACATATATCCCCACACTAACGAATTTACACAAAAAAAAAACACATGAAAGACAATTCAGGAGCTTTTTGTAGCTTACAAATAGTTGTTTGAAAGCATAGAATAGACAAAATGTATTAAAAGTGTTCACGAGGCCAAATGCATATAGAATTTTTGCTCGTAATAGGGGAAACTCGATAATTAGCTCCTGTTTGAGAGATACTCGCCCGTTAACGTCAACACTCGGGAAGTACTGGAAAGGTTTTTTGTCAAAGAGCCAGAGCACATGCGTTATTTTTGTTTTAGTAAGACGTTCATGTACAAGCTTTTTTTACTAATAAAAGATTTAATTTCGTTGTTTTATTATCGAGCTTTCTGATGAATAAGTTCTGACAAACAAGAAGAATATTTACTTATTTGTAATATAGTGAATAAAAGCAATAATTAATCTCAAAACTTTCTTCGAATCTGTATTCAAGAAAATAATTTCCTGCATTCTTATAACTTGTTAAAGTTCATAAACTCACTTTTATGTCTCAAATCATTTATAGAAGCCTCATTAGTATGTATTTTAACAAAGATTTGAGTGTGACAATTGACAACTCGTAGTATTTACCCAAATCAGCAACGTCTATAATTGACTTAGCACTAATTAACTAAGAAATTCGTGCATCAATAATTAGGATAAAGTATAAAAAGTATAAACCAAACAAACAATATTTTGTTAATAATATCATTCCTAAAACAGATGATAAAATACCTTGACCACATTGATCACAAAAGATTGCATTTTAAGCCACATTGCCACAGTTGCAACAATACATCTCGATGTCGAAGTAATTGCTTTAGATTTACCGTATGGCGTATGATATTTAATTGTGTTAGAATTAACTATTTTCATCTATTTATACCAACGGTACTTACTGCAAAACATAAGTCGAGCTTTCTTTAACGTCAGTGGCAGTACTCGCTATTTCATCGCGTTTTAAGTTCTCACGCGTTACAACAAGAAAGAAGAATTAACTAAACAAACATGCAGTATACAAAGTAACAGTCATGTTTCGAATCGGGGAATTTAATTACACAATATCAGCCTATTTATATTATGTTTTCAAATTCATTTCTAAATTGCTTTATGTTGTAATGACCTTATGCCAGCGTGTTCATTCCATCGTTAAAAATGTAACGTTTGTCATCATAGGGTTAAGACCAATCTTATTTATTCTTATCGAATATATAATATGGTTTTCACTTTGAATTTGATTCATACCAGCAATTGTCTATTTCTTTTCAAGCAAGCATTCCTTATAGTTTGCATACCGAAGCTTTCGTTTTGTGACCGCTTTGTTTATTCGTTTTGCGTTTTTTTTTTCTCCATTTCCTTGTCGTTTTCTGAATAAAGGATTGAGTACATTTTAGGTCGTAGTCCTACAAACTCCTGGATAGGAAGTCCATGTGTCTCGTCTTTCATTTTGCCAAGATTTTCTTGTTAGTTGTGCTGTCAAATGCCAATTTTGCATAAATTAACGAATATTCTTGGCAGAGATTGAATTTTCATACTTTCAAAGAAAAATCATATAGGATGAAAACCACACTCAACTCACTCTCCAAAAATTTGTTATTTTAAGCATTTCACATTGTTTCTGCTGGCATACGATAGAATATATTTCGCATACCTTCCTCGTTAATCCGCTTTGAGCCATATTTTGCCGTCTTGTGTGCTTTTATCACCGAATCTTGAAAGTATTCGGCAAATCTTGTACATTTCCATGATCACTGAATAAGATTTCAACCCCAGTTTTCTCAAGTTTGGATGCAGTGCAATGTCTTTTATCTTAGATATTTCGTACACGGACATTCTGTTAATATCGGCGTTATTACGAAGTGTCGTTGCTTTTCTGCTCAATAAATCCCGCTTCATAAACTTCATAAGTATCTTGATTGCAGTATCGTAACGAAACACATTGTATTTTAGTATTAATCGAAAAATGATAACATTAGCTTAGTCCGTAAGGAAAAATCTTCCATAACACATTTAGGATCTTAATTAAAAAAAACAGCTCAAAAAATAACAAGTAGATCACGTGCGAACTTCCTGAAATTCTGTCGGATGCCTTTTGACGAGGATGATGTTTTTGGCTTGATCCCAGATTTCTTATTTTGTGATATAATTAGATTTTGTTTTTGAATTGCGTATTTGCCTAAGATTGAGTTGCCTAATAAAACGTAACACATAGTTCAGCCGTAAGGTGAAGTATAAGGAAAACGCTTCATAATGTTTATTTAAGAAATATTGGATCAATGCAAAAACATCATCCCCGTCAATAGGCATGTGACAGAAATTCAGGAAGTTCCCACGTGATCGACATGTTAATTTTTAGAGCTGCGTTTTTAATTTAAATCCTATATGTTCTATAGGAGGTTTTTTCCTTACGGATAAAGCTAATCTTTTCATTTTTTTCAATGGATACTAAAATACAATGTATTTCGTAACGATACTGCAATCAAGATACTTATGAAGTCTATGAAGCGGAACTTAGCGAGCAGAAAAGTAACGACACTTCGCAATAACGCCGATATTAACAGAATGTCCGTGTACAAAATATCTAAGATAAAAGACATTGCAAGATTTGCCGAATACTTTCAAGATTCGACTATAAAAGGCAAACAAGACGGCAAAATATGGCTTCGTAAGGAAGAGGTATGCAAAATATATTCTATAGCAGCAAAAACAATGTCAAATGCTTGAAATAAAGAATAATTAGAGGTAGTTGAGTGTGGTTTTTCATCCCATATGATTTTTTCTTTGAAAATATGAAAATTCAATCTCTGCCAAGAATATTTGAGCTGGCAATAGAAATTAACAAGGAAATTGGTTGCTTAATAGTAGATCTCAAATAAGTCCGTCGACCTCTTCCAAAAGAGCTTGCTCTGAAAGAGGAAGCCGTGACAATGACAATAGCGAAAGTTGGTTGCGAGGAAAATGAAATTAAAAAAACATACAGGTTTCCTGTTCAATCTTAAGAAAATCAGTCTATGCTAATGCTAGTTTCGAAAGAATGTTGCGTACCTATACAAGTTACGTTAACGGTAACTCGTAATATGTTTCTTAAACATGTAACATTTACAGTAACTATTTATAGGTATTCATATTATTTCTAATATACGGTCAACAGTAACTCATTTTTTGAGTTGAATAATTCGACAGTTAAATTAAAGCTCTGTTAAGGCGTATTGTCTGGGCGAAAGAGAGGTGCATATATTATCATACAGACCGTTGCTTTTATCAAGATAACCATATAATAATGAAACTTCTCTTTTTTAGCAAACGATCGACTTGCAAAGTTGTGCAGAAATGACGGAGATGATAAAACGCAAGATTGAAAACACGGAAGCATTTCCTCATTTTCAATCAATTCTTCAACATTTTCTTCATTTTCCAAGTATTTTTTCTATTTCATGTGGATCTTTTCGTAGTGGTGTAGCGTATGTTAAGTTTTGTTACTTCAAGTGCCCCATTTTTTCTCCGCCACACCACTGACCTTTTGTTGAATATTTTAACAAGGCAGTTGATAATTTATTATATGTATCTGCCTTTGATGGTTTAGTAAATGAAACGAGCCTTTTTGAATTTCAAAGTTTACCTTTAACACTGTAAACTATATATTTAGATGACAATAGAGAAGCGAGATAAATTTGGGTTCTAGCGGATAAAGTAATCCAACAAATGACAATTCAAAGCGAAGATGGCGAAGGTTTGAGAAATTGAAATGAAGATTTTCATTTTGATCGTACTCTTCGGTGCTAATGTGTCGTGTATTTTAGATTTGGAAGAATTGCGACAGAGGCTTGCTAAGCTTGACATAATTGACTAGACAACACAAGAAAAGGTCTCTTTCTTATTTTTTATTTTCTGTTGTACGCTATCTTTGTATGATTCCCATTAAACGTCTTGTTTTTTGTTAAAGGACGAAGTAAACGAATAGATGGAAAAACAGAAAAATTGAATTAGAGCGTAAGACTGCAGAGAAGAATGAGGTATTTAAAAGAATACAAGAGCTTGACCGCAAAGTTAACAGTGCTGCCATTCTTGTAAAGCAATTGTTAATGTTTTATGATATCATATTTTTGTTTCATGTGGAGATTTTTTTATTTCCTAGCTTGAAGCTCACAAAAAAGTCTAGGAAAAACTTAAAGAGATCGTCGAAAAATCTCTTTGGAAGATTCCTGAGGATTGCAACGTTGAGCATTTTGTCAAGATTAGTACTGGTGCCCCACCGGAAATTGCTAATCTTGAAGCACATGTTGGTCCGCCTCCCCTTCTACGTTAGCTGGATTACTTACTCCTGGAGCACCAACACCTCTAACTTTAGGGGATGCAATACAAGGTGACATTTTTATTTGCGTACAATAATTTTTATTATTGTGATGTTCTGAACTGAACATCCATCAATTGCTCTCTCTTGTTTTTCATGGTCCACTACCTTGAAGTCGTAAAACTAGAGAAGAAATCTACGCTAATTAGAATGACGGAGGTTATCAAACGTTAAATTGGACAAACGGAAGCATTTCCTCCTTTTTTATCCATTCTTCGACATTTTCTTCTTTTTCCAAGTATGTTGTCTATTTCATGTGGATCTTTTCGTAGTGGTGTAGCGTATGTTAAGTTTTGTTACTTCAAGTGCCCCGTTTTTTCTCCGCCACAACACTGACCTTTTGTTGAATATTTTAATAAGAAGGCAGTTGATAATTTATTATAAGTATCTGCGTTTGATGCTTTAGTAAAAGAAACGAGCATTTTTGAATTTCAAAGTTTACCTTTAACACTGTAAACTATATATTTAGACGACAATAGAGAAGCGAGATAAATTTGGGTTCTTGCGGATAAAGTAATCCAACAAATGACAATTCAAAGCGAAGATGGCGAAGGTTTGAGAAATTGAAATGAAGATTTTCATTTTGATGGTAATCTTCGGTGCTAATGTGTCGTGTATTTTAGATTTGGAAGAATTGCGACATAGGCTTGCTAAGCTTGACATAATAATTGACGAGACAACACAAGAAAAGGTCTCTTTTTATTTTTATTTTTGTTTTACGCTATCTTTGTATGATTCCCATTAAACGTCTTGTTTTTGTTAAAGGACGAAGTAAATGAAGAGATGGAAAAACAAAAATTGAATTAGAGCTTAAGACTGCAGAGAAGAATGAGGTATTTAAAAGAATACAAGAGCTTGACCGAAAGTTAACATTGCTGCCATTCTTGTAAAGCAATTGTTAATGTTTTATGATATCATATTTTTGTTTCATGTTGAGATTTTTTTATTTCCTAGCTTGTAGCTCACAAAAAATCTAGGAAAAACTTAAAGAGATCGTCGAAAAATCTCGTGGGAAGATTCCTGAGGATTGCAACGTTGAGTATTTTGTCAAGAATAGTACTGGTGCCCCACCGGAAATTGCTAATATTGAAGCACATGTTGGTCCGCCTCCCCTTCTACGTTAGCTGGATTACTTACTCCTGGAGCACCAACACCTCTAACTTTAGGGGATGCAATACAAGGTGACATTTTTATTTGCGTACAATAATTTTTATTTTTTTGATGTTCTGAACTGAACATCCATCAATTGCTCTCTCTTGTATTTCAAGGTCCACTACCTTGAAGTCGTAAAACTAGAGAAGAAATCTACGCTAATTAGAATGACGGAGATTATCAAACGTTAAATTGGACAAACGGAAGCATTTCCTCCTTTTTTATCGATTCTTCGACATTTTCTTCTTTTTCCAAGTATGTTGTCTATTTCATGTGGATCTTTTCGTAGTGGTGTAGCGTATGTTAAGTTTTGTTACTTCAAGTGCCCCGTTTTTTCTCCGCCACAACACTGACCTTTTGTTGAATATTTTAATAAGAAGGCAGTTGATAATTTATTATAAGTATCTGCGTTTGATGCTTTAGTAAGTGAAACGAGCATTTTTGAATTTCAAAGTTTACCTTTAACACTGTAAACTATATATTTAGACGACAATAGAGAAGCGAGATAAATTTGGGTTCTAGCGGATAAAGTAATCCAACAAATGACAATTCAAAGCGAAGATGGCGAAGGTTTGAGAAATTAAAATGAAGATTTTCATTTTGATGGTAATCTTCGGTGCTAATGTGTCGTGTATTTTAGATTTGGAAGAATTGCGACATAGGCTTGCTAAGCTTGACATAATAATTGACGAGACTACACAAGAAAAGGTATCTTTTTTATTTTTTATTTTTTGTTTTACGCTATCTTTGTATGATTCCCATTAAACGTCTTATTTTTTGTTAAAGGACGAAGTAAATGAATAGATGGAAAAACAGAAAAATTGAATTAGAGCGTAAGACTGCAGAGAAGAATGAGGTATTTAAAAGAATAGAAGAGCTTGACCGCAAAGTTAACATTGCTGCCATTCAAATAAAGCAATTGTTAATGTTTTATGATATCATATTTTTGTTTCATGTGGAGATTTTTTTATTTCCTAGCTTGAAGCTCACAAAAGTCTAGGAAAAACTTAAAGAGATCGTCGAAAATCTCTTTGGAAGATTCCTGAGGATTGCAACGTTGAGCATTTTGTCAAGATTAGTACTGGTGCCCCACCGGAAATTGCTAATCTTGAAGCACATGTAGGTCCGCCTCCTTCTACGTTAGCTGGATTACTTACTCCTGGAGCACCAACACCTCTAATTTTAGGGGATGCAATACAAGGTGACATTTTTATTTGTGTACAATAATTTTCATTATTGTGATGTTCTGAACTGAACATCCATCAATTGCTCTCTTGTATTTCAAGGTCCACTACCTTGAAGTCGTAAAACTAGAGAAGAAATCTACGCTTATTAGAGTGACGGAGATTATCAAACGTTAAATTGGACAAACGGAAGCATTTCCTCCTTTTTTATCGATTCTTCGACATTTTCTTGTTTTACCAAGTATGTTGTCTATTTCATGTGGATCTTTTCGTAGTGGTATAGCGTATGTTAAGTTTTGTTACTTCAAGTGCCCCGTTTTTTCAAAATGTCGAAGAATGGATAAAAAAGGAGGAAATGCTTCCGTTTGTCCAATTTAGCGTTTGATAATCTCCGTCATTCTTATTAGCGTAGATTTCTTCTCTAGTTTTACGACTTCAAGGTACTGGACCTTGAAAAACAAGGGAGAGCAATTGATGGATGTTCAGTTCAGAACATCACAATAATGAAAATTATTGTACACAAATAAAAATGTCACCTTGTATTGCATCCCCTAAAATTAGAGGTGTTGGTGCTCCAGGAGTAAGTAATCCAGCTAACGTAGAAGGGGAGGCGGACCTACATGTGCTTCAATATTAGCAATTTCCGGTGGGGCACCAGTACTATTCTTGACAAAATGCTCAACGTTGCAATCCTCAGGAATATTCCCACGAGATTTTTCGACGATCTCTTTAAGTTTTTCCTAGATTTTTTGTGAGCTACAAGCTAGGAAATAAAAAAATCTCCACATGAAACAAAAATATGATATCATAAAACATTAACAATTGCTTTACAAGAATGGCAGCAATGTTAACTTTGCGGTCAAGCTCTTGTATTCTTTTAAGTACCTCATTCTTCTCTGTAGTCTTACGCTCTAATTCAATTTTTTTGTTTTTCCATCTATTCATTTACTTCGTCCTTTAACAAAAAACAAGACGTTTAATGGGAATCATACAAAGATAGCGTAAAACAAAAAATAAAAAATAAAAAATAGACCTTTTCTTGTGTTGTCTAGTCAATTATGTCAAGCTTAGCAAGCCTCTGTCGCAATTCTTCCAAATCTAAAATACACGACACATTAGCACCGAAGATTACCATAAAAATGAAAATCTTCATTTCAATTTCTCAAACCTTCGCCATCTTCGCTTTGAATTGTCATTTGTTGGATTACTTTATCCGCTAGAACCCAAATTTATCTCGCTTCTCTATTGTCGTCTAAATATATAGTTTACAGTGTTAAAGGTAAACTTTGAAATTCAAAATGCTCGTTTCACTTACTAAAGCATCAAAGCAGATACTTATAATAAATTATCAACTGCCTTCTTATTAAAATATTCAACAAAAGGTCAGTGTTGTGGCGGAGAAAAATGGGGCATTGAAGTAACAAAACTTAACATACGCTACACCACTACGAAAAGATCCACATGAAATAGACAACATACTTGGAAAAAGAAGAAAATGTCGAAGAATCGATAAAAAGGAGGAAATGCTTCCGTTTGTCAATTTAACGTTTGATAATCTCCGTCATTCTAATTAGCGTAGATTTCTTCTCTAGTTTTACGACTTCAAGGTAGTGACCTTGAAAACAAGAGAAAATTGATGGATGTTCAGTTCAGAACATCAAAAAAAATTATTGTACGCAAATAAAAATGTCACCTTGTATTGCATCCCCAAAGTTAGAGGTGTTGGTGCTCCAGGAGTAAGTAATCCAGCTAAGTAAAAGGGAGGCGGACCAACATGTGCTTCAAGATTAGCAATTTCCGGTGGGGCACCAGTACTATTCTTGACAAAATGCTCAACGTTGCAATCCTCAGGAATCTTTCCACGAGATTTTTCGACGATCTCTTTAAGTTTTTCCTAGACTTTTTTGTCAGCTTCAAGCTAGGAAATAAAAAAATCTCCACATGAAACAAAAATATGATATCATAAAACATTAACAATTGCTTTACAAGAATGGCAGCACTGTTAACTTTGCAGTCAAGCTCTTGTATTCTTTTAAATACCTCATTCTTCTCTGCAGTCTTACGCTCTAATTCAATTTTTCTGTTTTTCCATCTCTTCATTTACTTCGTCCTTTAACAAAAAACAAGACGTTTAATGGGAATCATACAAAGATAGCGTACAACAGAAAATAAAAAATAAAAAAGAGACCTTTTCTTGTGTTGTCTCGTCAATTATTATGTCAAGCTTAGCAAGCCTATGTCGCAATTCTTCCAAATCTAAAATACACGACACATTAGCACCGAAGATTACCATCAAAATGAAAATCTTCATTTCAATTTCTCAAACCTTCGCCATCTTCGCTTTGAATTGTCATTTGTTGGATTACTTTATCCGCTAGAACCCAAATTTATCTCGCTTTTCTATTGTCGTCTAAATATATAGTTTACAGTGTTAAAGGTAAACTTTGAAATTCAAAAATGCTCGTTTCACTTACTAAAGCATCAAATGCAGATACATATAATAAATTATCAACTGCCTTCTTGTTAAAATATTCAACAAAAGGTCAGTGTTGTGGCGGAGAAAAAATGGGGCACTTGAAGTAACAAAACTTAACATACGCTACACCACTACGAAAAGATCCACATGAAATAGACAACATACTTGGAAAAAGAAGAAAATGTCGAAGAATGGATAAAAAAGGAGGAAATGCTTCCGTTTGTCCAATTTAGCGTTTGATAATCTCCGTCATTCTTATTAGCGTACATTTCTTCTCTAGTTTTACGACTTCAAGGTAGTGGACCTTGAAAAACAAGAGAGAGCAATTGATGGATGTTCAGTTCAGAACATCACAATAATGAAAATTATTGTACGCAAATAAAAATGTCACCTTGTATTGCATCCCCTAAAGTTAGAGGTGTTGGTGCTCCAGGATTAAGTAATCCAGCTAACGTAGAAGGGGAGGCGGACCTACATGTGCTTCAATATTAGCAATTTCCGGTGGGGCACCAGTACTATTCTTGACAAAATACTCAACGTTGCAATCCTCAGGAATCTTTCCACGAGATTTTTCGACGATCTCTTTAAGTTTTTCCTAGATTTTTTGTGAGCTACAAGCTAGGAAATAAAAAAATCTCCACATGAAACAAAAATATGATATCATAAAACATTAACAATTGCTTTACAAGAATGTCAGCAATGTTAACTTTGCGGTCAAGCTCTTGTATTCTTTTAAATACCTCATTCTTCTCTGCAGTCTTAGGCTCTAATTCAATTTTTTTGTTTTTCCATCTCTTCATTTACTTCGTCCTTTAACAAAAAACAAGACGTTTAATGGGAATCATGCAAAGATAGCGTAAAACAAAAATAAAAATAAAAAGAGACCTTTTCTTGTGTTGTCTCGTCAATTATTATGTCAAGCTTAGCAAGCCTATGTCGCAATTCTTCCAAATCTAAAATACACGACACATTAGCACCGAAGATTACCATCAAAATGAAAATCTTCATTTCAATTTCTCAAACCTTCGCCATCTTCGCTTTGAATTGTCATTTGTTGGATTACTTTATCCGCTAGAACCCAAATTTATCTCGCTTCTCTATTGTCGTCTAAATATATAGTTTACAGTGTTAAAGGTAAACTTTGAAATTCAAAAATGCTCGTTTCACTTACTAAACCATCAAACGCAGATACATATAATAAATTATCAACTGCCTTCTTGTTAAAATATTCAACAAAAGGTCAGTGTTGTGGCGGAGAAAAAACGGGGCACTTGAAGTAACAAAACTTAACATACGCTACACCACTACGAAAAGATCCACATGAAATAGACAACATACTTGAAAAGAAGAAAATGTCGAAGAATCGATAAAAAGGAGGAAATGCTTCCGTTTGTCCAATTTAACGTTTGATAATCTCCGTCATTCTAATTAGCGTAGATTTCTTCTCTAGTTTTACGACTTCAAGGTACTGGACCTTGAAAACAAGGGAGAGCAATTGATGGATGTTCAGTTCAGAACATCACAATAATAAAAATATTGTACGCAAATAAAAATGTCACCTTGTATTGCATCCCTAAAGTTAGAGGTGTTGGTGCTCCAGGAGTAAGTAATCCAGCTAACGTAGAAGAGGCGGACCAACATGTGCTTCAAGATTAGCAATTTCCGGTGGGGCACCAGTACTATTCTTGACAAAATGCTCAACGTTGCAATCCTCAGGAATCTTCCAAAGAGATTTTTCGACGATCTCTTTAAGTTTTTCCTAGACTTTTATGTGAGCTTCAAGCTAGGAAATAAAAAAATCTCCACATGAAACAAAAATATGATATCATAAAACATTAACAATTGCTTTACAAGAATGGCAGCACTGTTAACTTTGCGGTCAAGCTCTTGTATTCTTTTAAATGCCTCAATCTTTTCTGCAGTCTTACGCTCTAATTCAATTTTTGTTTTCCATCTATTCATTTACTTCGTCCTTTAACAAAAACAAGACGTTTAATGGGAATCATACAAAGATAGCGTAAAACAGAAAATAAAAATAAAAAGACCTTTTCTTGTGTTGTCTCGTCAATTATTATGTCAAGCTTAGCAAGCCTATGTCGCAATTCTTCCAAATCTAAAATACGACACATTAGCACCGAAGATTACCATCAAAATGAAAATCTTCATTTCAATTTCTCAAACCTTCGCCATCTTCGCTTTGAATTGTCATTTGTTGGATTACTTTATCCGCTAGAACCCAAATTTATCTCGCTTCTCTATTGTCGTCTAAATATATAGTTTACAGTGTTAAAGGTAAACTTTGAAATTCAAAATGCTCGTTTCACTTACTAAAGCATCAAACGCAGATACATATAATAAATTATCAACTGCCTTCTTGTTAAAATATTCAACAAAAGGTCAGTGTTGTGGCGGAGAAAAAACGGGGCACTTGAAGTAACAAAACTTAACATACGCTACACCACTACGAAAAGATCCACATGAAATAGACAACATACTTGGAAAAAGAAGAAAATGTCGAAGAATCGATAAAAAAGGAGGAAATGCTTCCGTTTGTCCAATTTAACGTTTGATAATCTCCGTCATTCTAATTAGCGTAGATTTCTTCTCTAGTTTACGACTTCAAGGTAGTGGACCTTGAAAAACAAGAGAGAGCAATTGATGGATGTTCAGTTCAGAACATCACAATAATAAAATTATTGTACGCAAATAAAATGTCACCTTGTATTGCATCCCCTAAAGTTAGAGGTGTTGGTGCTCCAGGAGTAAGTAATCCAGCTAACGTAGAAGGGAGGCGGACCAACATGTGCTTCAAGATTAGCAATTTCCGGTGGGGCACCAGTACTATTCTTGACAAAATGCTCAACGTTGCAATCCTCAGGAATCTTCCAAAGAGATTTTTCGACGATCTCTTTAAGTTTTTCCTAGACTTTTGTGAGCTTCAAGCTAGAAATAAAAAATCTCCACATGAAACAAAAATATGATATCATAAAACATTAACAATTGCTTTACAAGAATGGCAGCAATGTTAACTTTGCGGTCAAGCTCTTGTATTCTTTTAAATACCTCATTCTTCTCTGCAGTCTTACGCTCTAATTCAATTTTTGTTTTTCCATCTTCATTTACTTCGTCCTTTAACAAAAACAAGACGTTTAATGGGAATCATACAAAGATAGCGTAAAACAAAAATAAAAATAAAAATAGACCTTTTCTTGTGTTGTCTAGTCAATTATGTCAAGCTTAGCAAGCCTCTGTCGCAATTCTTCCAAATCTAAAATACACGACACATTAGCACCGAAGATTACCATAAAAATGAAAATCTTCATTTCAATTTCTCAAACCTTCGCCATCTTCGCTTTGAATTGTCATTTGTTGGATTACTTTATCCGCTAGAACCCAAATTTATCTCGCTTCTCTATTGTCGTCTAAATATATAGTTTACAGTGTTAAAGGTAAACTTTGAAATTCAAAAAATGCTCGTTTCACTTACTAAAGCATCAAATGCAGATACATATAATAAATTATCAACTGCCTTCTTGTTAAAATATTCAACAAAAGGTCAGTGTTGTGGCGGAGAAAAAATGGGGCACTTGAAGTAACAAAACTTAACATACGCTACACCACTACGAAAAGATCCACATGAAATAGACAACATACTTGGAAAAAGAAGAAAATGTCGAAGAATCGATAAAAAAGGAGGAAATGCTTCCGTTTGTCCAATTTAGCGTTTGATAATCTCCGTCATTCTTATTAGCGTACATTTCTTCTCTAGTTTTACGACTTCAAGGTAGTGGACCTTGAAAAACAAGAGAGAGCAATTGATGGATGTTCAGTTCAGAACATCACAATAATGAAAATTATTGTACGCAAATAAAAATGTCACCTTGTATTGCATCCCCTAAAGTTAGAGGTGTTGGTGCTCCAGGAGTAAGTAATCCAGCTAACGTAGAAGGGGAGGCGGACCTACATGTGCTTCAAGATTAGCAATTTCTGGTGGGGCACCAGTACTAATCTTGACAAAATGCTCAACGTTGCAATCCTCAGGAATCTTCCAAAGAGATTTTTCGACGATCTCTTTAAGTTTTTCCTAGACTTTTTTGTGAGCTTCAAGCTAGGAAATAAAAAAATCTCCACATGAAATAAAAATATGATATCATAAAACATTAACAATTGCTTTACAAGAATGGCAGCAATGTTAACTTTGCGGTCAAGCTCTTGTATTCTTTTAAATACCTCATTCTTCTCTGCAGTCTTACGCTCTAATTCAATTTTTTTGTTTTTCCATCTATTCATTTACTTCGTCCTTTAACAAAAAACAAGACGTTTAATGGGAATCATACAAAGATAGCGTAAAACAAAAAATAAAAAATAAAAAATAGACCTTTTCTTGTGTTGTCTAGTCAATTATGTCAAGCTTAGCAAGCCTCTGTCGCAATTCATCCAAATCTAAAATACACGACACATTAGCACCGAAGATTACCATAAAAATGAAAATCTTCATTTCAATTTCTCAAACCTTCGCCATCTTCGCTTTGAATTGTCATTTGTTGGATTACTTTATCCGCTAGAACCCAAATTTATCTCGCTTCTCTATTGTCGTCTAAATATATAGTTTACAGTGTTAAAGGTAAACTTTGAAATTCAAAAATGCTCGTTTCACTTACTAAACCATCAAACGCAGATACATATAATAAATTATCAACTGCCTTCTTGTTAAAATATTCAACAAAAGGTCAGTGTTGTGGCGGAGAAAAAACGGGGCACTTGAAGTAACAAAACTTAACATACGCTACACCACTACGAAAAGATCCACATGAAATAGACAACATACTTGGAAAAAGAAGAAAATGTCGAAGAATGGATAAAAAAGGAGGAAATGCTTCCTTTGTCCAATTTAGCGTTTGATAATCTCCGTCATTCTTTTTAGCGTAGATTTCTTCTCTAGTTTTACGACTTCAAGATACTGGACCTTGAAAAACAAGGGAGAGCAATTGATGGATGTTCAGTTCAGAACATCACAATAATGAAAATTATTGTACACAAATAAAAATGTCACCTTGTATTGCATCCCCTAAAATTAGAGGTGTTGGTGCTCCAGGAGTAAGTAATCCAGCTAACGTAGAAGGGGAGGCGGACCTACATGTGCTTCAAGATTAGCAATTTCCGGTGGGGCACCAGTACTAATCTTGACAAAATGCTCAACGTTGCAATCCTCAGGAATCTTCCAAAGAGATTTTTCGACGATCTCTTTAAGTTTTTCCTAGACTTTTTTGTGAGCTTCAAGCTAGGAAATAAAAAAATCTCCACATGAAATAAAAATATGATATCATAAAACATTAACAATTGCTTTACAAGAATGGCAGCAATGTTAACTTTGCGGTCAAGCTCTTGTATTCTTTTAAATACCTCATTCTTCTCTGCAGTCTTACGCTCTAATTCAATTTTTTTGTTTTTCCATCTATTCATTTACTTCGTCCTTTAACAAAAAACAAGACGTTTAATGGGAATCATACAAAGATAGCGTAAAACAAAAAATAAAAAATAAAAAATAGACCTTTTCTTGTGTTGTCTAGTCAATTATGTCAAGCTTAGCAAGCCTCTGTCGCAATTCATCCAAATCTAAAATACACGACACATTAGCACCGAAGATTACCATAAAAATGAAAATCTTCATTTCAATTTCTCAAACCTTCGCCATCTTCGCTTTGAATTGTCATTTGTTGGATTACTTTATCCGCTAGAACCCAAATTTATCTCGCTTCTCTATTGTCGTCTAAATATATAGTTTACAGTGTTAAAGGTAAACTTTGAAATTCAAAAATGCTCGTTTCACTTACTAAACCATCAAACGCAGATACATATAATAAATTATCAACTGCCTTCTTGTTAAAATATTCAACAAAAGGTCAGTGTTGTGGCGGAGAAAAAACGGGGCACTTGAAGTAACAAAACTTAACATACGCTACACCACTACGAAAAGATCCACATGAAATAGACAACATACTTGGAAAAAGAAGAAAATGTCGAAGAATCGATAAAAAAGGAGGAAATGCTTCCGTTTGTCCAATTTAACGTTTGATAATCTCCGTCATTTCTGCACAACTTTGCAAGTCGATCGTTTGCTAAAAAAGAGAAGTTTCATTATTATATGGTTATCTTGATAAAAGCAACGGTCTGTATGATAATATATGCACCTCTCTTTCGCCCAGACAATACGCCTTAACAGAGCTTTAATTTAACTGTCGAATTATTCAACTCAAAAAATGAGTTACTGTTGACCGTATATTAGAAATAATATGAATACCTATAAATAGTTACTGTAAATGTTACATGTTTAAGAAACATATTACGAGTTACCGTTAACGTAACTTGTATAGGTACGCAACATTCTTTCGAAACTAGCATTAGCATAGACTGATTTTCTTAAGATTGAACAGGAAACCTGTATGTTTTTTTAATTTCATTTTCCTCGCAACCAACTTTCGCTATTGTCATTGTCACGGCTTCCTCTTTCAGAGCAAGCTCTTTTGGAAGAGGTCGACGGACTTATTTGAGATCTACTATTAAGCAACCAATTTCCTTGTTAATTTCTATTGCCAGCTCAAATATTCTTGGCAGAGATTGAATTTTCATATTTTCAAAGAAAAAATCATATGGGATGAAAAACCACACTCAACTACCTCTAATTATTCTTTATTTCAAGCATTTGACATTGTTTTTGCTGCTATAGAATATATTTTGCATACCTCTTCCTTATGGGTTAAGAAGCCATATTTTGCCGTCTTGTTTGCCTTTTATAGTCGAATCTTGAAAGTATTCGGCAAATCTTGCAATGTCTTTTATCTTAGATATTTTGTACACGGACATTCTGTTAATATCGGCGTTATTGCGAAGTGTCGTTACTTTTCTGCTCGCTAAGTTCCGCTTCATAGACTTCATAAGTATCTTGATTGCAGTATCGTTACGAAATACATTGTATTTTAGTATCCATTGAAAAAAATGAAAAGATTAGCTTTATCCGTAAGGAAAAAACCTCCTATAGAACATATAGGATTTAAATTAAAACGCAGCTCTAAAATTAACATGTCGATCACGTGGGAACTTCCTGAATTTCTGTCACATGCCTATTGACGGGGATGATGTTTTTGCATTGATCCAATATTTCTTAAATAAACATTATGAAGCGTTTTCCTTATACTTCACCTTACGGCTGAACTATGTGTTACGTTTTATTAGGCAACTCAATCTTAGGCAAATACGCAATTCAAAACAAAATCTAATTATATCACAAAATAAGAAATCTGGGATCAAGCCAAAAACATCATCCTCGTCAAAAGGCATCCGACAGAATTTCAGGAAGTTCGCACGTGATCTACTTGTTATTTTTTGAGCTGTTTTTTTTAATTAAGATCCTAAATGTGTTATGGAAGATTTTTCCCTTACGGACTAAGCTAATGTTATCATTTTCGATTAATACTAAAATACAATGTGTTTCGTTACGATACTGCAATCAAGATACTTATGAAGTTTATGAAGCGGGATTTATTGAGCAGAAAAGCAACGACACTTCGTAATAACGCCGATATTAACAGAATGTCCGTGTACGAAATATCTAAGATAAAAGACATTGCACTGCATCCAAACTTGAGAAAACTGGGGTTGAAATCTTATTCAGTGATCATGGAAATGTACAAGATTTGCCGAATACTTTCAAGATTCGGTGATAAAAAGCACACAAGACGGCAAAATATGACTCAAAGCGGATTAACGAGGAAGGTATGCGAAATATATTCTATCGTATGCCAGCAGAAACAATCTAGCAGTGGAAGCTAGATTGATTTATAAGTGTCAGAAGAAGACAGGGTCATAAGAAGTTAATTGAAACATTGCTTGGTTTGTTTTATGAGAAGAAAACAAAAAGATAAAATTCGAAAGCAAAAAACCCCGTTTTCGGTCCATGCTTCCCGATACCTTCTTAAGCGCAAGGCACTAGAACGCCGCATGAATCTTTGTAGAAACGATTATAACAAAGTACATAATCCCTTTTTTCCGTGAAGCCCAAGGATGTGTTCGTTCATGATGAAAGAGTCATATTGTATAAGGAGGCTCTCGTTCATCACGAGAGAGTTATGAGAAAGTTACGTTGTAAAAGGTAATAAATAAAAAACGTATAAACGTGCTTAGAGTTTTTTTAAGTTATAGTTCAAAAAGGCAGAAGTTGTTTGAACCTTTGAAGTATCCTTGGACGTTCTAGTTTATCCATAGAATCATAGCAAAGTTACGATGGACAGATGAGAGTTATTAACGCTATAAAACTTAAATTCAATATATCGTATAAAGTACCTCAAATCCCGACGATTTCTCGTATCGAAAGGATTCTAAAGTAAAGACGAAAATTAAGATGAGAAATTTCCAAGAATTGAAACTAGAGAATTTTTCAACAAAAAAATGTTGAAAATACCTGTACACTACCATAAGATTCTTCAATGTCTATACTCTAAAATAATAATCATTAAAACGACAATTTCAAATAGCATAAAAAAACTAAGTATTTGTAACATTGGTGAAAGATACAGGATGAACATGAAACCTTCTCAGAAGACGATGGAACGAGACCATAACCATTTGATGTGAACTTCTTTCAAACAACGTTTGCGTAATCCGTTAGCATACCATGAAAACTAACTTCTGGTTTAGGCGACGCTTTACTAGCAACCTCCTCAACGTCTTCAGGACAATTAACGTATACTGAACTGGTGTCACAAGGCTCAATGACGATGACCAACCACTAGCCATACCTAATATGTTACCACCAGAGATCTTTCTTGGGTAGATCAAGGTTTTAGGAACTTCAGACAAGGGTTGTGTTGAGCTGAGAACTAAAAAAGAACAAATATGGATAGATGATGAAGTGGAGAACAAGAATAGAGGTTATAGAAGACACACTACGTATGCTCATTGGTGTTTCACAAGAGTATACATTACAGGATAACTATGGATCCAAGTAGTCTAAACAACTAGGTACATTTAAGCAATCCATCTTTCCCATCGTAAACACAAGTATCAAAAAAACGTGATCAAATTACAAAATTCGAGCAATCAAATGGTCGGACATGGTATTGTATTTGTAGAAGAGAGCCAATAAAATAAAAAGATTCTCTTGGGGCATTTGTAAATATTAGTTTAGAAATACAGATCGACTAATTATAAAGGCAGAAGATGTAGGAGTGAATAAAAACCATTTCCCGTCAAATCAAAGGAAAGCTTGGATATGACATGCAATATGCAAGTATAAAGTTGTAGAGAAAAATAAAAAACATTTTTAACGTTGTCACGGATATTACGAGTGCCGTAACAAAGTGTTGACGAGTTTCACATGCATTTGTCAAAACAAACTTAAGTAGACAAAGAGCATGCCAAAAATACATGATGGAAAACTTGCTCAGCGCATCTACAAGCACCAATTTCAGAGCTCGCTCTGTCACAAATTAATTGAGAATCTGAGCATGCGTTGTCAACTCCACAAACTCTCCAAGCTCATGGTAACGACCAACTGGATGTACTAGTACCGATTTTGGAGTAATTAGCTCGCTCAGTCACACGTTTTAAGACAAATCATCTGCGCATGCGCAGTCTCATTGAGCATGCGCAGTCAACTTGACCAGCTACCTAAGGTCATGGTCATGGCAACGACCAACTGCATCTACTAGCACCAATTTTGAAGTAAATAGCATGCTTAGTAACAATTTAATAGAGAAATCGTCTGCGCAGTCCACTCGAGTAATTGTTCATAGTCATGACAACGACCAACTATATGTACTTGCACTACATTTGTGTCAATTAACTCACTTAGTCGCAAATTATCAAAGAAATCATCTGGGCATGCGCAGTAACGATAACAATCATCCCACAACTTTCGTACGCCTTTAAA